ATTATTACATAGCAAAAAACATCTTCCATGAAGACGTCGAGAATAATGCTTATTTACCGCTTACGTGCTACCTCTGTTATTTCATAACAATTCTTAATAATAATGAAAAAGTTTTATACTGTATAACTAAGATGTCAGTCATTGACAAATAAATAACGTTACTTTATACAGTTTTTAATTATTGTTGAAACCCATATAAATAGAAAAATAAAACCCATAACAATTCAAAATTACAAAATAATTTTAGCATGTACTAATTTTTTCAGGTCGCCCCTTTACTTGTGATGTCTGTTATAAATCCTATGGTTATTATGGATCACTATACAATCACAAGAAATTTGCTTGTGGAAAAGAAAAGTCGTTTCAGTGTGGGTATTGCGAACATACTTGTTATCGTAAAGACAACTTAAAAGCGCATATGTTAAGGAAACATCAGATCGGAGAAGAAGTTTGAATACCTCTTTTGTGAAGTTGTGCGATTATCTGAAAATATCTGAATTCTAATAACTCGCGAAAAGTCATTTAGGTCCATTTGGCTAGAACTACAACCTCGTAGATGTAACTATCTGTATATTATGTTGAAGATTTTGGATTTTTAGTTTCGCATGTAATTGTTTTGAAGTTTATTGCAGCTAATACATTTTTGGTGAATGGAATCAAACTAACAGTTGTAGACACAAATAAAAAAATTATAACTTATATTTTTTAAGATAATATAAGATTTCAATGCGAAAGCTGTTCAAGATCATACAAACATCCTGGATCGCTATCTAAGCATCAAAAGTACGAGTGTGGTAAACCAAAATCTTTCAGTTGCCCTCTGTGTCTATCTTCTTTTCAGAGAAGAGATAATATGCTAAGGCATTTGAGTAAAGTTCATTCTTCATAGATAAAATAATTATTGAAAATAAATATTCCTCCAAAAAGATAATGTATTCCCTTTTTCTCTGGCAGCTAGCAGATTCGTATTTAAATTTCAAGCTCTCGCTAATGTGACCTAATTTTTAGAATTGTCTTGCATCGCCTGTTCCAAAACTTATAAAACAACACAGTCGTTGAGAAAGCATTTACGTGACGAATGTGGAATAAGCAAAGAACACAAATGCTTCTATTGTACCTATAGTACCAAGCACAAATACAGCGTTATGCTACACGTGAAGAGAAAACATCCTGAATCATTTCACGAATATGCTAGGTTATACCATAGAATGTTATACTATGAACGGAACAAAGCCATGAGAATAATGAACTTGCTTGAACGTTTTGATGTTAATTAATAAGATTAATTAATCTTCTGGTACAAGCATAGTTCGGATTATTTACCTACTAATTATTTTATTATTCGTTTATTGAATGACAATTGTATTTTGTTATATTGATAAATATTCAGTCTAGGCTGTTTAAAAATGGTATTTTATTGAAGTGTTAGCAATTAGATGTTTACAATATAAACAATACGATGGACTGGTTTGAGAAAGCTCATTAATGCCTATAAAAATTGGAAAAATCATAATTGATTAACATATATTTAGATAGTTGTTGGAAAAAATCTCTGGAAACACAAAGTTTTCAACCAAAGCCCCAACACACTGGTAATTATTAGTCATACGATGAGTTTGTATTGATCTGACATGGTCAGCTTCACACAATACGTGCGGTTTGGCTTCATAAAGGGTACACAAACATAGTGGAACGATGAGGTCAGAGACACAGCGATGAGGTAAGCGACGCGGTTTTTATTTCATTGTGTATGGCGATGAAGCCAAACCAAACTTTGGCCAAACATAGTAAAGAGGTTGACGCCGGCGCCGTACTGGCTCTAGCACTTCTAGCTACAATCTTTTCAAGTTTTGACAAATAAACTGACTTGTACAGTGTACGTACTACCTTTGATACTACCCACATACTCAATGGCTGAGCAAGTGAATATTATAATCTCCGTGTTCAACACCGTATCCAAACCGTTTGCGTGCTTTAATGGGATGTACAGGGTGGCCCAAATTCGAGCCTCATCATTGGGATCTCGGTAACCGTAAGAGATACGGGGTCGATTAAATTATGGCAAAGTTGCGCAATTTTATGACCAATAGAATGCCGTTTTGAAACTAGAAAGATTCCGAATACTTCCGGAGATATTCGGAAAAAACCGAAATTTTGTAAAATCGTTTTTATTTTTTCCTTGTCTTATTTGAAGAGCAATTTCAAAATAAATGTCACTCCATCATTGTCACTTTTTACCCTTTAGAAGATGGTGCTACTAAATTTAAAATTCGACGTTTCGTCTTCAGGCGGCCATCTTCAACTTCCTTTTTTTAAATACGGACCTGGATTTTTTTTTGCGATTTTGTCATCTTTGGGCATCCTAAAACCGATACTCTTTATAATTTTTCAATAATACGGTGAAAGAGCAGGTCCGTATTTAAAAAAATAATAAATTGGTGATGATTCCAGAGGAAAGAAACGTTGGATTTTAAATTTGATACTGCCATCTTGTAGAGAAGAAAAAGTGACAACGGGAATGTAAAATTAGTTTTTTACAATCTTTTTAAATAAAATCAGGAAAAATGAAAGCTATAGGAGAAAAACATGAATTTCTCGTTTTTCTTAAATTTTTTCCTGATTTCATTTAAAAACATTTTGAAAAACTAGTCTCACATTCCCATTGTCACTTTTTCTTCTCTACAAGATGGCTGTATTAAATTTGAAATCCAACGTTTCGTTCCTCTGGAATCATCATCAATTTTTTTTTTCAAATACGGACCTGCATTTTTAAACATGTTATTGAAAAATTATAAACAGGGTCGGTTTTAGGATGCCCAAAGATGACAAAATCGCAAATAAAAAATCCAGATTCGTGTTTAAAAAAAGGAAGTTGAGGATGGCTGCTTGAAGACGAAACGTCGAATTTTAAATTTAGTAGCACCATCTTCTAAAGGGTAAAAAGTGACAATGATGAAGTGACATTTATTTTGAAATTGCTCTTCAAATAAGACAAGAAAAAAATAAAAACGATTTTACAAATTTTCGGTTTTTTCCGAATAACTCCGGAAGTATTCGGAATCTTTCTAGTTTCAAAACGGCATTCTATTGGTCATAAAATGGCGCAACTTTACCATAATTTAACCGACTCCGTATGTCTTACGGTTACCGAGATCCCAATGATGAGGCTCGAATTTGGGCCATCCTGTACAGAATAATGCAGGAACTCGAATTCTCAATAATCGGGTTCTGGCGCTAACAATTGAAGACCGGTTTCGAGCTTGTCATGCTCTCGTCGGTGCAATATAAGCGCAAGCACGTCAACTCACAACATGTTTAAAAAAGATTCACACGATCCAGAAAGATATAGAACTTCAATCTCTCTCTGAGTTGAAGTGCTTCTGCTTCGTTTATTACTTACTGACGAGAGTATAACAAGCTCGGAACCGGTCTGTAATTAGCGCCGCAAAATCAGAGTGTGAGATAAATAACACCACATATGCATTGGAAAAACGAAAGCGAATTTCTTGATGTTATTCATAGAAAATAAAATGCATGTTCCAAGAATAATATTTCTCACAAAGTGATTATCGGATGTTTTCGGTGGTACGTTTCTGCACTAGACCAAAGAGAATCCGTTAATTTGGTAATGTTCTGACAAAAAAAAAATGCTTAAACGAATATCCTTGTGCACAAAAATGCTGTTTTTCGTAGTTCTATAGTTTGTATATCGTATACGGAATTTTTCTATTTGATATGGAATGGGGAGGTGCTTAGGGTGGGCAAAATCGTCTATGAATCGATACAATGTTGAAGACAAAACTTTATTTAGGCGTATCTACATTATTATATCGAGTAGCGATGCCAGATTTTCACAAGAGCTCTCAGAATTTTTTTCTTTTTTTTCTGAATACAAGTTGTATTTTAGGGTTAAACCCCCTTTAAGGCCACTTTGGAGTTCGCAATTTACACCCCTGGGGAGAAAACTTGCACATTCTTCTTTCTCAGAGGATTTCGAAGGACTTATTTTCTAGCACTTGAATGTGCAAGCTTCAATATTTTTCGTGTTCCCAACTGTACAACGTAACCTCGAAAAGTTGTCAATAGGGTTTATTCACCTTTTAACTATTTATTATTTGTTTTTATTTTCAATTAAAATAGATTATTTAGGTCTGACGACAGGGAAAATTACCTTAATAATTTATTATTTAGTTCCTTTAGTTGTAACCCCAACATAATAGGTAGTAGTTCTTGTATAAAACAAAAAGAATGGGTTAATTAATTAAAGCTTTCTGTTCTGTATGTTATAATTTCCCTTCTTTTATTTTTCATTATTATTTCATTATAACAAATTTCATTAAGTACTACATTATTTTATACATTTTAAGAACCGAGTTTAACAGATGCGTGACAAAACCTTTTAATGTTACTCTCCCAAACAACGATTAGTTATTATTTCCGTATTATTTACTCGTTGCTAACCCTTCCGAACACTGAGGAAAGGAACTGAGGAATTCAATTTTTAGAACCCCTATCATGACTGACTAGTGTTAGCGTTTTCTTAAGTTTATAGGTCTATAATCTGAATTGCTCAATTATTATTTAATTTTTGATACCTTTAGGAAACCAATAACCAAACACACGGAAAATAACCTTATTAAAAACAGCAGAAGTTCGTTAATATTTCTGTGATTGGTGTGTGATTGGTAATGAAAATAGCATCAAGAATTGGGAGGAAAAATTGCCAACTGTGAAACCGTCACAAATGTATAGCATTGATAAACTTGCAGGGACAAAAATAGAGAAATGTAAAGCGGTTTTTAGGGGCCGTTCAAACCCCAATAATCCCATGCCAATTTCTCACTGATCTTAGGCTAATGCATACAGATATGTGTTCGGAAGATTAAAGGAAATGTTTCTTATATATTCAGGAGTTTCCTTTTTTTAAAATCCATCCCTTGGGAATATTTTGTGTGGAATGGGGAATTGAAATCATTTTCGGGATATATTTAACTTTCGGTATGGTATTAAATAGTTTAAAACTAATTCAATTTGCAGGTTTTAAGCGTACTGTGCTCAAGGAGATTTTCCACTGTCAGTTGAAACTAAATACCTTGATTAAGAGTGTGTCTTTGTTGTTGAAGGCGCAAAAGACTACTCAGTTATTCAATGTTGTTGATAAGCAACATGTAATGAACCAAAAATTGCCTGTCACAACGATGACAGAACTCGAGGCTCTTGAACAGTGGTTGATGGAAAATGATAATAATAACTATAAAATTATGGTAAGTATTTCAAATCCGCCGACCACAAAAGAATTCTATAATTGTAATGCATTGGATTATATTGGAACGTGTTGAAGGCACAGTTTTGGCTTGCAATTACTAATGTAATATTTTTTTTAGTTGAACGAATTTGGGAGAGTTGGAGGACAAACATATCAGCTGGCTACGCGAAAACTGCTTTACAAATGTTTAAGTAACTTGGTCGCCATGCAATATTCGTGGGATGGACTGAAGCAAAAGGCGGCTTTCAAGAAACTCCTCTTAGCACGCTGTATATTAGGTAAATTCTATTGGTTTCAAGTAGCACTTAGTTTGAATTTTTCTGGTAATCTAATGTGTGTCTACTGTGTTATATTAATTAGATTGAGAAAACAATGGCAGTCGTCTGTTTCTCGCATTTAAATTACGTATACAGAAAATTTTAAGCACATTTTCCATATACCATACCAATTAAACCAGGTGCATCTCAAACCACATCAATTCGTTTTGAAAAATGGCAGGTGAAAGTGTAAGTCAAGTAGGCACACATTCACATGAAAAGTACTTGTAATTTTCTCAAAAAATTGATGCGGTTGGTCAGTTTTATTAAATAATGAATTTTATTTGCTAACCAATTACGCATGAGAAATTAGGTTTGTTCAGATTTAGTTCAGAAGTTCTTTTTTCAACGGGATTTGTTCATTGATGTTCAAATCTTCATTTTTAGAATTTCAAATCTGGGATTTCGACAAATCCTTTTTTCCGCGCGTTTTGACTATTTTAGGACACATTTCTTGATTTTTTTTTAACATCAGTTGTCAACCGATTCGCTTTTAGTACAAGCGGTACGCCAAAAAAAGTAACTTTTCTTGCAGAAAGCATGCCGCTCTGCAGGTCTAGTGCAGAGCTTCAAAGAATTGATTTGGTCCGAAGCACAACGACTCCCGATCATGTGGTTTCAAAATGACGCGAGATTACTAGTTTCAGTCCCACAGGTATAAAAGAGGGTAATTTTAATCCTAATGAAACCCTTTTGCCGTCAACCGTGTAAAATTTGTTTCATTGCCTATAAACCAATGGAACTTGTTTTCTCCGAATAATACCAGATCAAGATCAAATTTATCCACTTGGAGATACCAGACCGAACAGATACAAGTCTGGAAATGACAGATCCGACAGAAAATGAGCATAGAACAGTACAAAAAGACCTAGAAAATCAACTTGAAATAAGAAAACAACTGAGAGAGAGAATAGAGCTGAGCCAACCTGTTCGTTTTGAGGACTATGTTATGACAGTTGCTGCATAAATAAGCGAAACACAGGAGCCACTAAGCTACAATTACTTTGCAATGATAAAGACAATTGGATTTTGCCAATGGATAAAAAATTACAGTCAGTACAAGAAAATTGTTCTTAGGAGGTTAAGGGATTACCACCAGGAAAGAAGGCAACACCATGTAAATGGGTATATAAAGTGAGAACCAATCCAAATAGGTCCATTGACAACTACAAAGCTCGGCTAGTTAGCAAAGGTTGATCACAAAGAAAAGGTGAAGATTACGACCAAGCTGACAGTCCTGTACCCAAGGGAGGAACAATTAGGTCACTCCTCAATATTGCTGCTAGCAAGAATATGACACTCACACGGTTCGATGTATGTACTGCATTTCTCTATGAGAAACTAAATAAATAAGTCTATATGAAGGGTATGAAGATGAAAGTAACATGGTCTGTAAACTTCAGCGTATTCTTTATGGATTAGAACAAACACCTAGATGTTGGAATCAAAGATTCATCGATTACATAGAAATTCTTGGTTTTAGAAGATCAGATACCGACCCTTGTTTCTTTATTAAGTTGGAGAAGACACACTTCAACTAGTAATCTATGTAATAGATGATGGACTCCTGGCGTCAACCGAAAACTTGAAGGATTCCTAATTCTTGAAAAGTTTACGAAGAGAATTTAAAACTACCATTTAACCAGCTTCTTATTTTTTGGATTTAGAAATTAAAAGAACTGAAAATGGTGCAGTAGAATTAATTCGAGCAGCTTGTACAAGAAAAAGTCTTGACCGCTTTGAAATTTAAAACTATAAACCTGTATTGGCGCTATTGGTGGAAGAAGGTGCACAATTAGGGAGGAAGAACTGGACACTACAACTCCATTTTCTTATTGAGAGGCTGTTGGGGCCTTAATATTTTGGATGACAAGCACTCGACCAGACTTGCTTATGCGGTTAGGTTATTTCCCAGAAACTCGAGAATCCCTCATACAGAGACGTTGGAAGAGTTAAAAGAATTTTACGTTGCCTAAAAGGTACCTACCATTGAGATTTGTTTGATATATAAACCAGGAGTACCAAAAGAAATTAGAGCCTTCAGTGACGCTGACCATGGTGGCGATGAAACCATAGGATCCTCAACTTCAGGAGTTTTAAATATGTTTACTAATGGGGCCATCACGTGGCTAAGCCAGAGACAGAAATAAGTTGCCATATCAAACGACTGAAGCTGAAATAGTGGCGGCTAGCGAAGCTGCTAAGAAAATTGGGTGGATAAAACGCTTGTGTCGCAGAAACGCAACAACTATGATATAACTACAAAATAAAGGGGGGAATGATCAGCCTTAGATCATTCAACTATACTCCAAAACTGATTTAAATAAGTTTAAATAAAAGTTAGTTTTTCCAGCAAAAGAAATGAAACACTTGAAACATTCTAACTGAGTGAACAATTTATTAATTGTATTAAAGTATATCTACTATAAGCACTATGAATGCAACGAGTCAAAAACTATCAAGTAAATATCTGCACATCAATGAAATACAAAAATACCTATTTAGTTAAAATTGATAATAAGTGTGTACCCAGAGATAATACCTATTTCAGTAATTATTACCTCGAATATTACTTTATCAATTTAGAGGTGTTTTGCTCTAGTTCAAGTAAATACTGGTTCAAAATCACAGCGACGCCGACGTGAACATAAAATAATGGTAATATGAGTCAATCAAAAATATTCTTACTTTTTTTATTTATCCGAGGATTGAGCTGAACAACAAGCTAGGGCAGCACGCAGGGCTAGTAGTAGCACAGAATTAACAGCGGGGGCTTCTTTTAAGCCTTACACGGCACCACAGTTGAAGTTACTATATTCGATATTTAGTTAAAATAACACTAAAAAGGTAAGCCAGTCATTGGACTCTTCAGAAGTACAGCCTTTGAACCTTCACTGTAGCACTACAAAAGGACGACTGGGCCTGGTAGTACAAAGGGGGGAAATTATTCAACACACAAACGGCAAGACCGCGTCGTCTTGTTCCGAACTTCCAATCAAAAGGGGGCTCGAAAGGGGGCTTCCAGCCAACACAACACTGTATGTTATTTAGATGAAGACGGCTCTCGTCTAATGAAGGGGACTTCCAGCCAACACAACACTGTCAACGCAGACTATTTTGTCTAATAGAAAGGGAACTTCCTTGGGTACTTCACTCTTCAGCCAACGCAATATTTTAATGGAGACAATTTTCTTGTACCGTCAAAAGGCAGGCTTTCTCAATGGGCTTTCTGCCAACACAGCACTGGGGCAGTCAACCTTTACAAGAAAAAAGAGGGCTTTTTTTCAGATTCTTTTTAGGTAGGTAATGTAACAGAGTGTTAAAAATTCTCCCAAAAACTTTTCAGAAAACCTGAAGGAACGATGGCGGTGTGTCTGTCGTTTTTCCTGTTCCTACAAATTCTAGAATCCTATTGCCATATGTCGGCTTTTTATTGGTCGGTTGAAAAGTGCTGGTGCCATAACAACAGTCAACAGTGACAAGCACGGCAAGTAAGGTATACAGAGCGCAAAAAAGCACATGCACAGTGGTCCAACGATGCAAAACATAAATAGACAGAAAAAAAGAAAATTGCAAAATGGGCCAAATAGAGCAAAAAGAAGTCAAAAATAAATTATTGTTGTAGAAACAGTTTCTGCAACAGCTTGTTTGATGAAATTCTAGAATTAAAGTCAATTTCAGTGCTGGAAGTTGAGAACAAAGCTTCAATTAAATTGACCCAGAATCCTAACTTTCATCAAGGAACCGAACACATTCACATCAGGCACTTCTTTGTCCGTGAGCGGGTATTGGATGCCGAATAAAAGTTGAAAAACATTAATCTGAGAATCAACTTGCGGATCTCATGACAATAAAGAAATATCGTCATTGAATGTGTCACACTTTTCATTCTTCAAAGTCCTAAGATCCGCTCTAAACGCTTCAACAGTGCGCATTCCCATGATGCAGTAGTGTGAAATTCCGGCAATGGTGCCACATTTTAAAAAATACTTTATTTTACCAGGATTGAGAACTATTGGTAATATAGTAATAATGGTACTTATTCGGCACCAGAATGGGTTTTTTTTTTCACAGTATTTCGTCCCTAGGGATCAAAGGATAAAACATACAGTGTTAGTTCTTTATTCTTCCACTGGTTTTATAGTGCTTCTTTCTTCCGAAAACAACACCAAACTCGGTACAACAAATACATGTTAAGTCATTATATTTTTATTGTCTGTATTAAAGGTCAGGTCAAATCGACTCTATGGACCTATAGAATCTATATGCGAGATGGCATGCTTTCTGCAAGAAAAGTTACTTTTTCTCAATATTTTGAGTGTACCGCTTACATTCTCATAGAAACTAATTTTGGCGACGTTGCCGATTTAGTAATAAGGCAATCCAACGACCTGTTAAAACAATATGGCGGCAAAGGCTAAACATCTGTAATGTTTGTTTATTAAGCCTACGTTTTATTGAAATTTTGAACTGAATTTAGTTCAAATCCAAGTTGGAACGGTTCTAGAACTACAAATCTGGACAAACCTAATATGGACAAGTCAGCGATTCTTAAAAAATCTGTTTATTTGTCGATTGATAAACCTGGTCAAGGAACTCTAAAAGTTTTATAAATAGATATTATGTATTTCTAGATGCGATCAAAAGTCAATTTCATAATGTGTCAGAATCAGACATTGTGACAGTGATAAAGATTTGGTTGGTGAAAGCAAAAGAGCGGAACGCAAAGGCCGGGACAAGGGGGGCTGAGGATGCTGACGTGGAATAGGCCTGATCATCTATTATATATAAACATTATTTAAAATAATCTCTATTCTTTCTTGTTAAGGCGAAATTGATAACTTGCGAACAACTGTGTTTGCCCTTTACTAACAATGTCGCCTGAATAATCTTCATTTCGTATTTGGAGTTATATTTGAGTTGAATTATTGTTAATACATACATATGGTTAATACACAATTTTTTTTGATACTGTCAGAATCAGAGCTGAGTATGGGTGTATCGTTCAAGATCTTGTCAACCATAGAATCTGCATCACAAAATGTATAACCATTCTGCTTATTATTTGACGTGGAAGTAGTGGTCTTGCATTTTGTTATCTTTGGTATTAATTTTCTCACTAACATGCTTTGTATTTACAGTGAAGCTCCACTAATCCGGATTAATAAAAACCAAGGCAATCCGAATTAATGAAACATCCGGATTATTGGAACTTTTTGAAAAGTTACAAAAATACGTCAAAAACTGTAGTTTATTAACACAAAATAGGTGCTTATTACATGGGACAGTTAATTTTTGCAAAATATCGTGTTTTTCCGCTAGAGTTAACGTTTTGTGTGCCCTATTTGGCGCCATGATGCTTCCTACCGAGCTTTCCAAACTTGTCACAGAAACAAACGCATCGTTTTCGGTGAAATAAGGGGATTCACCGACATAGACTTTGGTAACACCACCTGTAGCGATTGGCGAACTGCGCAAAAAATTATGATCCGGATTATAGGATCACAGGTAATCCGGATTATAGAATACATAATGTTAACATCTAATATTTTAATTTTGTCCGGATTACTGGGAAATCCGGATTAATGGAGTTCGGATTAGCGAAGCTTTACTGTATTATATCATATCTTTGTGGTAGATACTCTATCAGAGTGAAGAAGATAATATATTTTCTTCATATCATGACTTCTTGTAATGTTTGTAGGATATGAACCAAACTTGCTCTCACACATTTACTAAAATTTAAGTTGAGTTGAGATTTCTTCAATTCGCTAAAAGATATAAGTTCCTAGAGACATTCTAGGATATTCTACAAAGTTATTCAGTTGCTCCAATAATTTTTGTAATAACGTTTCAATCTTGAGTACCTACTCCTTGTTACTTTCACTTGAAGCTAACACTTTCGCATTTATTGCTTTTGCGCAATAGGTAAAACTTTTGAAGACTTTCTAAATATTGATGATATTCTTGAAACTTTGTGATTGTTATTAATATTTCAATAAGATTATGAACCAAACACATGCTCTTTATGTGCGAAAATAAAATAATTTGTCAGAACAGAATACGCCCAATATAACCACCGATATTTGAACAACAATTCTGACTTGAACCCCCAACACATTTACCCCTAGTTTCAAAATGGATGGTGGTTACAAAATTAACCAAATATACAAAACTTATATCCAATCGTTGGATTAAACTTTGTACTTGTTAACTTGTATAGGTGTCAGGATAAATCCTGGCTTGTAAACACTGTTTTCGCTTTTACTTTTAGTTTTATTATGACAAGTAGTTATCTATATACTTTATGAAACTGGGAATAATAATTGTCAGAAAATCTAGGAAAAATTTTACATTTAAGCGGATTTAGCTTAAAAATTAATTATTCACCATTCGTCTATAATTAGGATGGTAAGGTATGTGTCACAAAAGTAACCAAGAATCACCTACAGTTTGTTAACTCATCAGCATATACAGAGAGGACGAGGCTACTAGACACATAGGCTTCAATGGGGCCAGTTGACTGATATATGATATTTACCCATATCACTGCATGCCGAGCTGCATGTTATTAATATTCGTGCATCTTTGGCAACTTGGCTAGACGGAGTTTCGGCAGCACCGCCTCGATTCGCTGAGACCGGGTACAAGCTCATTCGTCCCATTACTCCCTATGTATCTAGTAGCTTGGTCCGATCTGTATATTCAAAGTACTACTATAATCAGTTTATAGGAAATATTGAATTGTTTATATGATTACAGCGAAAATTTAATGTAAACGGTAGGTAATTCATGTGTATTTTTATTTTTGAAATTGGCATAATTTCTAGATTCCATAATTTGTCTGGGATATGATTCACCTTTGTAGTTCTCCCGGCTAGTAGGCTGTAAGTCGTCGTCGTGTCTCACTCCGAACTGATCGTGCTGATCTCTTGCTTACTCTTTTTATAGAAGTGTTGGCGGTGAGGGAAATGGGCGGGGCTTCGGTGGCACTTGGGGTTTTTTGAGACACTACCAAAGGTTCAACACCCAAACCTTGGCAAAATACTCTTCAACAATTTACATAGGCTCTAACGAAAGCCAGAAGCGCGAGCCTAATGTGAATAGGGACTATAAAGGCATTCAACTTTGTAACATATGGACTCTAGACCACGTGCCAGCGATACCAATCACTGAGCAGTATTGTAAAATCAGCAGATCAGTAACAGTGAAACTAGCTGCGGTTGAAGCCTTCACTCTCCAATATTGATCCACCTTTATTTCTTATTTTAGGTTTTTCAATTGTGACAAAATAAACAAAAACAAGGGATGACATTAAAATCTGGCATACAAGCTTTGAGTGTCAAGTTGGTAGTAATAAGCTTTAAAAAAAAGGAACGAGTAGAATATTTGAGTAGAATAGAGTTTTTTGATAAGACCCAATTTGATGAATGATAGGAATGATCATATCAAGAAACGTAACGTAATTTTTAGGCCACTTAGATGCTTTGTTCATTTTCTGTTGTAGCATTTTTTTTGTTGTTGAAAAAAAGTAGGTACGTCTTTGATGACAAATAACTACAAACAAGTTACATTTTCTATAATAAATATTTTTCAGACCATTTCCTCCTAAAACGACAAGAATTTGGAGGCTATAGGGTGACAGAAAACGGTCGTTACGGTTGCCACAAATGCATTTCATCTTACAAAAACTTGAACAATTTGAGAAGGCATATGAGATTTGAATGTAACAAGGAACCAGCTTTTGTATGCAAAGTTTGTCACAGGAGATTTACTTACAAATACATTTTAGTCAGACATATGGCAACTCACATAATCTGAACTAGCAGTTAAATTTATGTTATTTCTAGTCAAGAAAAAGTAATTTACTTATTGGGCAATTAAATATAGTTCTAGTCAAATATTTACCTAATAAATACAATATATGACCTAAGCTTATTTGAATTAGTATATGAATTGAAAATATGTGTCATATTATTTTTATGTGCCATTTTATTTATTAGATTAGATGTCGACTGATGGTTGGGCCGTATGTTGGCCCTTTCCGCCTTGAGCATATAATGTAACTTTTTTTGTAAATTTGATAGTGGTTCTTTATACAGCATCAGTTTGAAAAATATTATTATTGGTAATTGTAATAAATTAGATAATACTATCACTCTAAATCATCATTGTTTAAACTTAACCCACTAATGTAGTACACGTGCATAACTTGGTAATTTTAGAGCAAAACCGATTTACTTATGTAGCTTTTCATGAGCTATCATTTGACACCAACTTTGAATTTAACCGGAATTTCTAATCATGGAATAAATTCGAAGTTGGTCCCAAATTATACACTGATCAAAACGAAAAAGGAGCCACTTCTGAATTAATCTTAGTTTTTAATAAAATTATTTTATCTTCTTAATCACCTGTTCCAACACGTCAAAAACCGTCCCATGAACGGTTTGGAAACCACTCTGTATACGAATTTCGGATTCTACGCACAAATTTTATGCTTTGCGCAGAATTGTGATGGTAGGTACATTGTACGGTTTTCTGCTGTGTTGGAACAAAGCTTAAGTGAGAGCAAATTTGTAATTTTTTATCATATAAGTAAACAAACCGTGATAAAAACAACCTTTTTGGTTTCAAATGAAACTGCATGTCTGCTGGGAAAATAGACATTTTTCTTTTTAATACAGCAAAGAAATTATATGTATAAAATTACTGAAGTGGCTCCTTTTTCGTTTTGATCAGTGTAGTTTATGAAAAACTAAGACAAACATCTAGTATGATCGATTTTCCTGTAAAATCATCCGTTTAGGTTTAACAGTCTTTCAAAGATGCAAAAAAATCAATTTTCAAATTTTCAACTGTCAATGTTTCCGAAACAGTTGAAGATAAGTATAGGACTTTGTACATGAAATATGTCTAGAATTTTCCGCAGAATCCAGGAATGTCAGAATAATATACAGGCGTACGATTTAAAAAAATAAAACTGATAACAGTACAGCTGTTCTTGCAACATCCTGTATAAAAAAATTGGCGTGAAAAAATCTCAGACAAAAAAAAACAAAATCGACGTGTTCGAGCGTTTTTTCGAAAAGGCCCTTATTTATTTATTTTTTGAATTCGAGTCAAGAAAACACTGCTATTATGACGCTTGCCTAATTCAACTCCAATGTCATAAGCAATCATGTTCTTTTAATCAATTTTGCGGTTTTTCTCCTCGTTCTTTTACATTTTTTGTATGTTCAGTATTATAACTTTAATTCATCATCATTACAGGCGATCACGCGTTACCGAGTATGATTATCTTCTATTCTATACTTATTGTCGTAAATTATGCGTTTTCTGATGGCTATATAAACTAATTCTGAAGCCGCACGCTCTTCCAAAGTCTTGGCACACCCAGCATCTGACAGCATTGTCTCTTCCTCTGTTCTCTCGCTTCTTCCTGCGGTCCCTCTTTTCGGTCTCGTGTCTGCATCGCTATTTTTCAAAAGTTTGTGGTCTGTCGTGGACTACTCGACGCCACGAGGGCCTATCATTTGCCATCGTGTCCCACCAGTTGCTGGTATTGATGCGACATTTTGCCATATTCTCCTTAAGAACATCTTTGTAGCGTTTTTATTGACCTCCTTGATTTCGTTTTCCCTCTTTCAGTTGATTGTAGAAAATCTGTCATGGAAGACGTTTTTCGGGCATTCGGACGAGGAGTCCTGACCAGCGAAGTTGACGCTTACTGATAAGGGCATGCTAGATGAGCAGAAAAAGCTAATCGAAACACTTAGAACAGAAGTCAAGAACCTAAAAGACCACAACCAGCCACTGCAGATGAAAGTGCATGAAATAGAAGATAAAATAAACCAAAATGAACAACAAGACAAAGAAGAAAACATAATTATATCTGGAATACCCAATCAAAACGAAAAACCAGAGACAATAGTTCAAAAACTACTTGATACCATGAAGGTGGATGTAAATCTCAATGATATTCAAGAATCTCACTATATATCCAAAAAAGAAAAATGCACCCATTGTTGTCAAGTTCAAAGAAAAGGTGGCAAAGCAGAAAATACAAATTAAAGTTAAACAGCTGAAAGGCATTAAGGTGAATGAGTGTGGACTAGTTGGACATGGCTTAATCAGCAGTTATTCAAAAAGTCAAGAGATTTAAAAAAAAATTATAATTTTAGAGCCGCATATGTATATTATGGAAGAATATATATGAAAAAAAAAAGAAAACGAAAAACCTATACGAGTAAGAAATGAGAGCGACCTCATAAAAATCCAACCCACACAAAGATCTTAAACCAAATACTTTCTGATTAGAACTAACCCAAACTTATAATAACAAATCCCATATAGCAAAGATGGATTGCAACACATATATAAACATATTGTACATAAATATAAGAAGCTTAAGGATGAAAATACAGGAATTGATAGACATAATAGAGGGTAACCAAGAAATAATACATGTAATTTATACTATGCGAAACGTGGATTTATCCAAATGAAGTCGACTATTCAAATCTGCCAACATACACTGCCATACATGACTGTACAATCACACGAGGTGTTGGCTCTACAATATATATAAAAGATGGTCTAAATTATATCATACATAATTGTACAGAGACATTACCAAAAGACTGTAATATTGTCTCGATATATCTCACAGATCAAAAACTTACGATATGTGGAGTATATCGACCCAAAATCCAAAACTTTTTACCAGAATTTGATAAAATATTGGAGAAGCATAAAAAAAGTGTGTAATTAATTATAGGCGATATAAACTTGGACTTATTGAAAGCTTCACAGGCAAAAACTGATTATCCTAATATAATTGAAATAAATGGATATCAAATAAAAAATAAACTCTCAAAAGAAGATGCTACCCGAGTCACAGATAAAACAGCT